TCCACTCTTTCTTATCCTTTACAAGATTCTGGAATGACATCTATGCCCTTTCCTTTATCACTGTTGCCGTGGAATATCAAATTGATTTTCATTTTTACATGGGATAAATCAATTTTGAGTGCTTCACAATTTAGTGTTTTATTTTTATTTTTTTATTTTATATAATAAATTATATGTGTTAATAAAATATTGATGTATTTATTAAATTATAACATGAATACTTATAACTAAAATAATATCATTAATAAAATGACATGTCACAAATAAATATAATGAAAAAATTAGTATAAAAACTAAGCTATAAAATAGGATATATATATATATATATATATATATTAAAAGGTTTTAGTATTCCTGCTGCTGTTATATAGACACCAAGAATTGTGGATTAGAGCAATATAATAGTAGCTCAACCCTTATCCTAAAGAATTGTAAGGATGGCAGAGGAGATATGGGATTGTCTTTTTACTAGGGATACATTTAATATTGAAAAGATGATTTGAGAGAAAATGATCAATACAAGTTTTGTTGAAATTACAAGCCATAGGGAGCAGGAACCTAGTGTTGGCGCTACTCACATAAGGACACATGATATTGGGACTGTCGACTCTTGCATGGGACAAAACCCGAGCACCAAATGGCACATGGGTAGCCTTGTCTTTGCGCATGGCAAACCCAAGCGCGTTGTTGCAACTCCAATTTACAAAGTAGACCCAAGCCCCACCAAGCGTTTGGATTTAGACAAAGGTTTGATTGGCTATGGCAACCTCAACACTATATGGAGCTTGGATTGGAAGGCCCTACATTTGCACGGGAGAGACCCAAGCCCCACCTAAATGCATCCATGCCAAACCGCGAGTGGGGTCTAGATGCGACCAATCCCACCTGCAAGCATGTTAGTATAATAATACGTATTATAAATTTATTATCTATGTTGTAATCATCCTTAAAATTCTTAATATAATTATTTATGTTATAAATATTATTATTTTTATTACAATTAATAGTATAAATATTAAAAATATTGTTATTTTTAATTAATATTATTAATAAAAAATTAATAAATTTAAAAAAATATTATTTTTTATATTATAAATTTTTATAGTAATTTTCATAAAAATAAAAAGTGAGCTTAGCGTGCAGCTCAGGCATCCAACTAGAATATAATATAATAACTTGATTTTGGTCAACTCACTAATTTTGATCTCTTAAATTAGAAAAAATACGTGTGTGTTTTTTAAAAAAATTTATATGCTTGATAATGGTTATTTAGAAAAAAAAAAACAATAACGTATACGCCACCGTAGTGAAAGTGTGGACTCGATGGACGTGGCCGGATGGGAATTCTATCGCTTTTGTAAGAAAAAGGGGGTGCGGGGTAAAAGCGTCAATTTCCCAGGCTTGCTGACTTGTACGTTCGGTGCGGAGGAGGCGGCAAAGAGCTTAGGGGCCTGGACTTGGAGGGACAAGAACGACGACGTAGACCAGAGGCTACGTGTTCTTGTACTCTACTGGGAGAGGAGAATGTTCTTCTCAAAACCACCGTTGAGTGGGATCCAGTGCCTTTGCTTCCATCGTAATCCGAGAACGGATGTTTGAGAATTTATTATACGATTAAAAAAAAATTAGCTGACATGTTACCAACAAGTACATCCCTGAGCATCTCTAATAGCCAAAAAAATCATGTCGGATGCTCTTCACTCTAAAATTCTGTAAACTTATTTTAGGCTCAAAATATCCTATAATCAATTAAAAAAAAAAAAAAGATTGAAAAATCTTCCTAAACAAAAATACATTTTTAGATTTGAATTATTTATTATAAAAGATTGAAAACATCCCAGCGACATTTCTCTAATCATTCGAAACTTATTAATATCAAATTTTTGTATCTTTGTTGTTAGAATATGATTAATCATTTTTTCTCTATTTTTCTATTTTTAAATACTTGTTTTTTTATCTTATTAATATCAAATTTTTGTATCTTTGTTGCTAGAATATGATTAATCATTTTTTCTTTATTTTTCTATTTTCAAATACTTGTTTTTTGATCGCTCAAACTTAGGGATTTAAACATAGGTTAGAATTGAAACATAATTTTTTTTTAAAAAAAAAAAAGGACCAAGACCAAAAACAATATTAATTATTCTATATTGCAAAAAATAAATTTTAATTACCAAAATCAAGCATTGAGCGTCGATTCAATTCCGTGATGTTTTTCAACGCCACCAAAATCCAACAGCATGCTGGAACTGTAGCATGAGAGGATGAAATTTAAAAGAAAAATGGTTTAGCGCCTTGAATAAAAAATGTTGAAAAAAAAAGAGAGAGCCACCTCACTCAACTGTACGGCTCCAGTCCATGATGTAACTGCGTGCGTGTTGAACAAGAAAATCCTGGCTCTTTTAGTTTTTCAATAGTTGGTGTACCGACTCTGTATTGTCGGGAGATTCAAGTTTTTTTAAACATATAAGAAAAATATAAATATCAGAAAATGTTATTAAATTTAAAAATATATTTATTTTAAAATATTTTCTTCGTCAAGATAATTTTTTTTATAAATATATCTCCTAATTTTTTTATACAGTACAATAGTTTTAACTGAAATCATTATATATGTTTATAAAAAACTAAGTTCGATTGAATTTTTATGAACAATTTAGTAGTAGTATTATTATTTTAATATCAGATAAAAATAAAAAAATTATTAAAATCAAAATAAAAATTTATTATAGTATTGAAGAACGTGAGTGGATTTGAAAAATCTTTCTCAAAGTGTAAAAAAAAATAAAAAGATAAAAAACAGTAAGGGGCCACACCCAACACCTGGCCCACTCGTATTTCCAGACCAGGCCCGTGCAAACTTGTGACCTCAAGACTATGAGTTGGGAGTTGACTTTATTCTAAAATAATTAAAAACTATATGAAAATAATTTACTATTTATATAAACAGTAAAGAACTCAGATATAAACAATAAAATATCATATCTAAAAAATCATAGTTCATGGTACGGGTATGACCAGTGGGCGTGCAAGGAAAGGTCTTGGAAAAACATAAAATAGAAATGAAACCAATGGCTAGTGATTGGTCGGCAATTAAATAAATGCTCTCGGTGAGAGAGTCGTGGTCCGACATCATCCATGCTGGTATATTCAACCCTTTTACTACTTCAACGGATTTTCATTGCAAAACCATTTCCTGGATTTTTTTTATATTTTTTCTTGATAGTAAATAAAAAAAATAAAAGCATTTGATATGTGAATTTTTAGATGTTATTAAGCATTGCATTCCAGAAACACTTTTGAAAATCATATTCATGTAAAATTTCAAATTAATTTTTAGTGTAGTGGAAAAATAAAATAATATTGTAATTGATATAGTGAAATATCATTTATTTTTAGTTTTGTATAATATTGTTTTCAGAAAAAAGTATAAAAGAAAAAAATTACAAAATAATGAAGATAAGATAAGATAAAAAAAAAAAAAAAAAAATAAAAAAAAAAAAAAAAAAAAAAAAAAAAAAAAAAAAAAAAAAAACTGTATAGAGAGGCTAAGTGCATAGTGATATATATTTCAAGTGTAAAGAATAAAAAATAATATTTAAAAAGAAAAAGGTGAGAAGAACAAAAAGAAAAAATAAAAAATAACAAAAAAATAAAGCTAAAAAATAATAATAAATAGATAACATGTAAAACGATAAATATGTCAATTATTAAAGAAATACAAGAAAACCTATTTATAAGTATAATATAATATTTAAAAAATGAGAGAGTGAGAGTAGAAAAAGAAAAAGAAAAAGAAACCTATGAGAAAGAAGTTAGTGAGAGAAGTCTTTGATCACAAGTATTTCATAGAAGAAAATGTAAATAAGATAGCATGATTGGTAGCTATATAATATTCACCACAACCACCATTTGAAATCTGAATCTAAATTGCAAACACATAAATAATTTTCTTTTGGAGTATTAGAAAGCAAACTAAATAACGTTCATAAAAAAACAATCCTGGCTCCAAACTGAAAAGAAAGCCAAGTCCACGGCAATTATTGGCATGACTAGCCAGTGCATTGTAGAAGTTGTTTGGAAATTATGTTTTTTAAATATTTAATTTTTTATTAATTTTTTAAATATTTTTTATCATTTTAATATGTCAATTTTAAAAATAATTTTTAAAAAATAAAAAATATTATTTTAATATTTTTCAATATAAAAAAATATTTTAAAGTCAACAACTACATTTCCAATCAAAATCATTTTTTATATATATAATTTTAAGTTAATTTTTAATATATATATTTTTTTGCTTCAGTGTTTTTTATTTTATTTTATTGGATGACACATCATCTCTTTTTGAAAAACATTGTGTCGTTAGCGGAAGCATTTTCCGGTCATCTCTAATTGCTATAACATCATGTTGCACATAAAAGAACACATCAATTTTCAAATCAAACCAAAATCAAAGATCAAATCAAATTAAATAAAAATTGCTTGTCTTGATCTATTTTTTTCTGTGTGCAGGCCCTCTCCTGTCGAACACTTGTCTCTAATGCAATTTATGGACACCTAGTTCTATTATTTTTATCATTGAACTAAAATGAATACCCTATGATTCGAGCATGCAAATAAAATATACATAAAAACATTCTTATATAACTTATAAAATTAAAAAGAAGTAAACTTTAACGACTTCTTTCAAGGATCAAGAAAGGCAGGTAAACGGGCACGTGTGAGAGGTTAGTAAGCTAAAGTTGATCATGCCTTATCCCCTCCTACCCAAAAGCTGCTCAATAATCACTCACATGTCCTATAATTGTTTTCATATTAAAAATAAATTTAAAAAATAAAAAACATTATCTTAATATATATATTTTTTTAAAGAGGACATTTTGTAACAAAATCCCACCTTTGGTACGGCTGTGATTGCATCAGCCACTCTTATTTAGCATCAAATTACTGGCACCGCCTTTTAAAACTCCATCGAGACTGATAGTGACAAGTCAGCATGCATTAAAGATTCCATGCCAAAGTTCTCAACTTTATTGAAAAGTCCGTGGAGCACAGAGCATTATCTCAATCACCCTCATTTCCCATTATTACAGCAGCAAACAATGACCCCATCAGCCACTCCTGGATCAAAGCTCTCAGGCTTTTCATCTACAAAAAGACAGAACACCCGGCAGGGCAAGGCGCCCTTTCTTAGGATGATCCATTCACAACCACATATTTCACATGAGGTGCATGGTGGATCTACATGGCTCTTTCATAGCCGTTTAAGTTGCCTCTACGGACATGACTGTTTACTGTGCCATTTACAGGATCCGTGAGACCTTCTGGCTATGTAGCCTGATGTCAGCGCCTGCGCATGTACTTCCAAGACACGTGACTAGTCTGTTGATGATTGATGGTCTCAAGCCAATTGAGAATTAGCTGTGTACGTCTCAAATTATGTAAGGTCGAAAAATTTGTTATGACTGGTAGAGTCCATCTTTGATTGATGAAGGAACAGGTGAACTGGAATCGGCATAGCATAATCTGATGAAGCGGGGCATCACATTAGATGGAATTAGAGCCATTAATGCGGGGAGGAATTGATGAGACGCCTTGCCTGGAGAGCTCTGCTAGGACGCTATCAGCAGACGGGGGCTTGAGGCCTAAGGGCAACGGTAGCCATGGCTTGTTGATTGCCTCTTTCACTACCTTGTCGATTACCTCCTCGGCCTGCATGAAAGATAAGAAACGATGAATATTGCTATTACGTGGTGTACTCTTACGAAGTTGGACATGCAAACGACATATAGCAACTCTTCTGAAGAACATCTGAAACCAACAACCGCAATCTTTTGCTGAAATTTCTATAACAAAATAGCCCTTCAAGTGTGCTACGTCTCCTATGCTTTGCATGGCATCAGGAAGCACGAATTATTCAGAATTTTACATCTTCCATCAAAACAAAACTACCGTCCTAAAAATTGATTACCAAAATGATTTGAAGTTGCTAGGTTAAAATGCTTTCTTCATGGATTATGTTTCCGCAATTTAACTTTCTGTAATCACAAGAAATCCCGAAAGCTCCTAGGAAACGTGACACCTCAGTCATACTTTCATGCTCTTGCTGCATAAACTAGACCACATTTTATGATCAAGTCCTAAAACATCTGGTCTTGAATGAAATCTACAACTACACAAATAATTCTCTAAAAATCAGATAAAATCAAGTGCAGTAAGATGTTACCATACCGGCTGAAGGTCAAACATTTTTTGTGGCATACCACAGCTGTTATTGACCATGCTGGCACTCTGAAACCCAGATGCATACTGCATTTTCCAAACAAAGAATACGCTGTAAGAGGCGTGTACATGATACAAAAACAGATTATGACCCATACACAGGTATACTTACATGAGGAATGGAAGAATAAGGACTATATGGTGGCATCACAGGGCAACCCCACGCATCTGCATGCATCTGAAATATAAAAAAGAGATCTAATCAAGCAGCCGCATTCAAAGTTCTCCAGGAAATGCTTTTAAACCATCAGTTTCAAAGCATGCTAAAAAAAATTCAAGGTGTTGTATATAACAAGAGCTACCCCTGGATAAGGCTTCCAATGACAACTTTCTGTCGGGGGCCATGGGGAGTAGCCGGGGGGGCCCCACATATGCACCCCAGCTGTGTGACTACCTGTTGCTCCCCACATAGGATAGACCGGACCAGGTGGGAGAGCGTGGTTACAATGATATGGAGGATATGCTATGATAGGTTTATGTTGATAGTAACTCCTTTGTACTTGATCTCTATGCTGTGTCCACTGCCGTTCATCTTCCTTGGGCAAAATATGTCTCCTGTGCATTCGATATTTCTGCTAGGAAACAGGCAATGCTATTTAATTAATAACTAGAGGATGAATTTATGTGAAATGGGGCTACTTTTGAACTGTACTAGGTAAATTATAAAATAACGTTCATGGATTTAAGAAACAGAATTCCAAGTGCAAACACCCAATGACAATGGGAAATGCATCTTTACCCTCTTAGCTGCGCAGTCCAATGAATATTACCTCAACTAGTCACAAAATGATCAGACCACGAGATGAACGAGAGAAAGTCAACTATAGAATTTGTCTTTGCTGCTAGAAGCTAGCAACAAATTTTACGGGGAAAGCAAATTCCACATGAGCTTCTAACAAATAAAAAATGACTCCTGTCAGAACAGAAGCTAACAAATTTGGTAAGGGTAAGCCCACTACGAACCTGCAGATGACTTGCTACATTATGCCTCGTCAAGCCTTCCACTTTCATTACCTCTAATATCCTTGAAGGAATCGCTTGATCTACACCTAGTTTTTCCACTGCCTGCACAAACTTTTTGTGAAGCTCTGGTGTCCAGTCTACCTGAAACTCGGAAGAAAAAACAAACAACAATCACCACAGAGAAATGGAAAAAAATACGCCTTTTGTAAATAAAGAAATCCAGACATGGGAAAAGCTAATGCTTGCGACATCACTTCCGATGCAAGTCAAGCATAAACAAATAAAAATCAACAAATTATTGAAAGTGTTTACCGGAGGGAAATGCGTGAAGGTACAAAAACAGAGAGAGAGAGAGAGAGTAAACTTTTGAGCATTTTGAGGTAGCATACAAGTGGAGAAGGCATTTCATAAATGTAAGACGATTTGAAGGGAAAAAAGGGTAATATGATTACGCCTCAGGAGAGGATCAGGAACATCAAAAGTATTTGATATACAGAATAATCATTCACCTTCATCTTCTTTCTATTAGCTCTAGTCCCATGGGAATTATGAAGGCTAGAAGCTTTTTCAGCACCATTTGAATGGTTGAGAGTGTCTTTATTTTGTGAATTGGGACACATGTTATTCTCCCTCTTGACACCATCAGTTGAGTTATCCTCCTCTTTGATCACATTCTCTGTAAAGCTCTGAGGATCCCGTGCCTGTAGAGTTTCTTCAGTCATGGCACAAGTAGTTTCAACGGATTTAGAATCTCCCTCTTGCTCCACACTCTCCTTTTCTATTAAGCAGTTAATATGGTCTTGGCAATATCCATCATCCAACAGTCTCTCTCCTTGTTTCAATTGAGGGGTTGAAGGAGCCGGATACCTGTCACTAGCTGGTGACTGCTGCTCATTACTTTCCTGAGCCAGCGACACATTTTCTGTTTTCTCCATGTTCTCATTCTCATTTTCTTCGAGTCCATCATTGAGCTCCAGCATGGAAACTACAGAATCTTTGACAGGCTTCAGTGATTTGGATTGAACACTCCCCCCTGCATTAAATGCCTGCTCAGGATCCATGAAGTCAGAAACTCTCTTCATAGCATTGAGATCATAAAATTAAGTTCCAGTGTTAAGTAAACAAAATTCAAGCAAACCTTGTGAACCACGTGCTGCCATATATTCCTCAGTTTATCTTCAGAGAGTGGTTTCCGAAGGAACTCAACTGCACCAAGCTGAAAATAAATTGCCACATAAATACATTACATGATCATGGCGAGTGGCGTATGCATCCAGGTTCTCTTTATATGAATGGAGCAAAAACTAAAGTCAAAATTCAATTAAAGCGCTAACAGTTGAATGGAGTTTTCTTCAATAGCTGAACTAAACAGAACTGGAACCAAAGCAGACAATTAAAACTTGAAAACACCTAGTGTCAACAAGCATTTCAGCACGACACTAATTAGTAAAATTCTTACCGCTATGCACTTCATCATCGTGTTCAGGCAATCAATACTTGAAGTCACTGAAAAAGAGCACAATTTCATAGTGTGTTAGAAGCTGTAAATTATATTGATGAAAATCTATCCAAATTGATATAGTAGAGTTTCTTGAAGATATTGACAGAACACATAGGAAAGCAAACAAAACATGAGGAGCTAAAAGATGTACCTGTTAAAAGCATTACTCTCAAGTATATGAAATATTAACGTTTTATATCAACTTACTGATGGTTGGCAAGTCCTTCGAAGTTTCTAAAAACTTGAAACTCCTGCTGCTGTTGCTCAGACTCACCTGTGACCATAGGTTCTATTAGATAATCAATCCAGTTCAGCCAATCCAACCACCTTTAACCAATATTATATCCACAATAACGCACTTAGATGAAGTGATTACAGCGAAAACGATGATAATTGGTCTCATTAGGCTAATGAATGACATGAGATTATCAAAGAAACAGCAGCCAGTCATTTCAAGGGTTATTTTTTCCCAAAGCAGTGCAGTCAATTTGAATTTTCACCAAATATTAGAACTTCCGGATTAGATTAAAGGGAATTACCTCCACTATAGCAACATGGAAGCTTCCAGGTTCATTTGAAATTGCAGACAGCGCTTCAGTCTCATTGCAGAATGTATAAACTGAAAAAGGTATGGTGAGGTCAAGCAGAGAGATTCAAACAGGAGAGAACGCACCACTGTAACATTACAGGACACAAATGTGATAGCCATTTAAAGTAGAGCAAGAAAAAATATGTAGCTTTAATATCATATAATGTAGTATGAACATCATCCTAAAGTTGTAATTTGCATTCTAAAGATACAAATTAAAATAAGAAACTGACCAAATTTTGAAAAAAAAATTTACTATAAACATTCTCCAATTTCCACTAATTGATCTATGAAGTTCTGAAACACTGATAATGAAAACGCTTAAACATAATTAAATTTTACTGCTTCTGTTTACCGTCTGAAAAAGTTCCTCCATACAAGTAAAGAGGACTTCTCGCTTTTGTCCACCATTTAAAAAGAGACCAGTTTGTCGGTAACACGTTTGATCACTGATCATTGCAAGAAAATGGTTTCAATTTACAGATATCAGTCACTGTCATTTCAAACTGTACAATTAATTAGTATCCATTTTATAATTTATAAATCCCGAAATCATGTTTCAATACAGGCTATGTAAAGATATGGACCCCTCGAGATGCCTTTCTCGATAAAGATGCGGACTCGTTTAGCTAGAAAAGTAGGATGAAACGAAAGTAAAACAATGCAATCGAAATTGCTATTCGAGGAAAAACAAAAGGTCGAGAAAGTAGGGAGTCACAAAATCTCTAACCAATATAGTCCATTGCTTCCAGTTTCGATTTTATCTCGGCAGCAGACATGCTGTCCTCATCAAGGAGAAGGACTCTGAGGCCCTTTGGAAAATCCTTCCATGCTGATAAATCATTAGTGGTGCAAACCATAGCTTGCTTGGCATCGTTTCTCAGGCCACCGACAAGTTTCCAATATTACTCCTTATCAGCATCAAAACCAATTCTGCATGATCTACATGAACATGAACTTCACATCAAATTCATCGCTACTTGATCTGGTATACTATATTGTTAAGCCAAACAAAGAACTGAGTAATTAACGTACGAGAAAAAAAGAACAAAGAAAGCCCATTAATTGAAAATATTATTGTTGCTAAAGCAACAAAAAACTCAAGTTGAAGAGAATTAAAAAAAAAACCCAAGAAATTCAACATTTTAAAAACACCACATAACAAGTCTCCACTGAAAACAGAACAATGTTCAGACTCTAATGCCTGACTTCAAAGAAAAAAAATCAAGAAAGAATCTTGATCAGTCATGGTGCGATGGCTAGATCATTTATTTAACACCACTATATAGATCATTAGAAAAGGACCCGGATAAAAGAACTTATAGAAGACAGCACATGCCATTTACAGTATCATATCAGCTATCAGTACAGAAAGATTGCTCAAAGTATCAAGATCTTCTTGGTTTGTGCTAGTTCTATAAAACAACACATAGACAAAAAGAACCATTCAAGATCTCCGCAATAAACACAGGAAAATCCAAAGCATAGACAGAGAAAGGAAGGAACAAGGAGAGAAAGGGAACAAAGTTTGAAACCAAAACTGGGAATTCTTTGAAGGGAAACAAGATGCTACTTATGTATGAACTAAAACCGGACATGCATGCACACAGTAGCAACAAGGTCATCACAAAACCCCAGTAGATCACATGAAGGAAACATCAAAGTGAATGCAACATACCTCAGCTATTCCGGAAAAAAAACAAAATGGAATAAAACATCATATTTTTTAATCTCTACATAAGCTTTTGTATTGTGCATGCACGGTACTACTACTCACAGCATATATGATAAAGAAGGTCTCTTCTTGACTGAAAAGTCTTTCTTCTCTAACAGCTTCTGCCTTGGCTCGTGTATAAAAGTATACACAACCAAAAACTCCACCAGGGTAGAGAGAGATACGTTTAAGTGCGGTTTCTGTGACAGGTCTTCTGTGACTTTTGTAGGGCAGAGTTTTGATTTATTATTTTGATTTTATTTTTTTATTTTGTTTTTGCTTTTGTAGGTTTTTTGGGTACTTCAGTTGTAAAAAGTTGCTTTCGGTTGTCTGCAGACCACAGAGCATGCAAGAAAAGCGTTCCATAGGGTCAAAAACCACTTTTAACCTCCTTTCAAAGTGAATATTCCCACAAATCTTTAACAAAATTTAAATTCTATTACTCATTACCCCACTTTTTATATATATATATATATATATATAAATTACACTTCCTTCTGTTGAAATTTTTAAGCGTATAGTGCAAAAGGTTCTGCTTTATTTCAAGGATATTTATTCACCCAAAGTCTTGCACGAACACGAGCTTGTATCCAGTGGGGCATGCCCTGTTGTTCAAAGTTACGCCGCGGACAGTAGAAAATATTTTAAGTTTTTAAAAAACTATTTATGTACTCAAATTATGTATTTTAAAAAAATATATATTTTAATTTAATATTAAAATAGAAAATCATTTAACCAACTTCATCTAATCTATAAAATTCACGAGAATAATTTAAAAAAACAAATTAAAATGCACAGTGTCAAATTAATTTAATATTAATTAATAATATCAATAAAAAATAAAATAAATTTAAGTCAATTAAGCAAATTTGTCATAAAAGTCATGTATTTTATTATATTCAATAAATTTTTTTATTCCAAATATTAATTTTTATTTAATTTTACAACAATAAAGAGCATGGTATTTAATTTTTTGTATGAAACAATATAATTTTTTAAAGTAAAAAAACCATGACAGGCATGTGAGGCAATAAAGATAGATCATAAACAACAAATGATAAAATTATATTTTTTTTAAATTTAAGTTAAATAATAAAAAAATTTCAATAATAAATGGTAAAATTATATTTTAAAAAAGTGGGAAACAGGAAAAGCATTTTAAAACAAAAAAACAAATGATAGCGAAATGTTATTAATTAACTCATTAAACCTGCTACCCTGATAATAATTTCAATTGGGTTTAATGATTTATTTTATTAATTTTTTTAAAATCAAATATAAAAAATCAAAAGGAGCCCACTTGCAAAGTCCGCAAAGTCTTGGGCATCGACCTAGACATGCGAGCCTTCTCGTTTAACTTGTATATATATATCTATTTTATTTTTAAAATTTTTTAAAGAGAAAAATAACAATCTTTTTTATAAAAAAAATAGTAGACAATGCATTATTTTTTTCATAAATTCCAATGGCCAAGAATCTAGAAAATTAGGGATTCAATTTTTTTATTAAAAACTTATTTTAAACCAAAACACATAGAAAATACCTTAAATATTTTAATAAACCTCTTAATAGCCACAAAAGATTAAAACAACAGCTTAAAAACTAAAATCAATCCAGAGCTAAAATTATTAATAGGTAAAATTTACGTTATCGAGCAAATACCAAAGTCAAACTCCTTTTACGAAATGAAATCTATTAATATAAAAATTAATTAATTTTTTGTCAAAATCATTGATAATGATTTTTTTTCTGTGTTAGAATTCAACGAGTCTCTCTCTTCTCTTGTAAAAAAAATAAAAAAAAATAAGAGAAATGAAATGTGATACTAAAAAAGAATTTTAGAAAATTAAAAAGACCCATCACCTTGAAAGTATAAAAAGAGAGACAAAAATAAATTTTTCAAATAAAATTCCAACACCATTCATTTTACCCATCCTTTCCGCTGTGATTCCTTGTTTTTTATTCAACCATTCCTTTCAAAATAATATGTAATTGAATGTTAATTTTAGCTTAGAATTGGTAAATTGTGGGGGAAAGTCAGAGGATCAAATAAAAATATATTTGGAAGGTCTCTGTAATTCCTTGTTTTTTATTCAACCATTCCTTTCAAAATAATATGTAATTGAATGCTAATTTTACGTAAAATGGGTAAATTGCGGGGGAAAAGTCAGAGGATCAAATAAAAAGTTTTTAAAAAAATTAATTATTTCAACTCACTTGTGAGGGAATGAACAGTAAAAAGCCACAGTAAAGTGAAATTAATACGACGTAGTTTTTTGTATAATTATTCCAGTCAAGGTGTCGTTTAGTGGTTTGGCTTTGGTGATGATAGTTTCATGGCCAACAATTGAACAATGATGCACGAAGTGCTTGGACTGAAAAGCCGTACCTTTGTGGGAAAAAAGAGAATCTATGCCTTTATAATTTATCATGCGTCTTCATCAATCTCATATTTTGCCATCTTTTTATTCCTTCGTACGCTATCATTGGTCTGTATAAATCATCTACAGTCTGGCATAAATATTTAAAGGAAATAAAAAGGATTATATAATTTTTCATTAATTTATTGGCTGTGAAACAAAAAAAAAAACATTCTAGTTCAATTGTAACCCTAGTTATGACATCACTATTTCTAAAAAATATTTGAAGGCAGGACCTCTTTGAAAGAAAAAATATATAAATATTAATTGAGCTATATACACACACACACTCATTGTCTTCACAAATAAAGTAACTAGAAGAATAAAAATATATTTGGAAGGTCTCTGGGATCCCAGTAGAAAGGTTTTCCTTTCACCGCAAGTACTTCAATGAAAGAATTAATTGTTCTAGGGTAATATTACAATATGAATTCTTACGACTTGCGTTGTGTGTAATTTTTATTTATTTTTAACACCTGTTATTAAATTTATTGAAAATAAGATAACATTTAAAAACTAATTTTTTACTAACACGTAACCTTATAGCATGCGTAGGAAAAATCCATAAGTTTCGTTTCTTGGTTTTATATTCTAATAAAATAAAAACAATTGGGATCCTCCTTGGGTTGCAATGGAGGAGGCTAAAATACCTATTTGTTTTTGTATTTTAAATATTTTTTTTTAAAAAATATTTTTTATTTATTTAAATTAATATGTTTTTAATATTTTTAAATTATTTTAATATATTAATATTAAAAATAATTTTTTAAAATAAAAAAAATATTAATATATATTTTACCATAAAAATTATTTAAACAGCAACCACAGCTATATCATTAAACAAATTAAAGAAACTACATTACAAAAAATATTAATATGATATATAATTTTTTAAAATATTTTTTATTTAAAAATATATTAAAATAATATACATATATTTTAAAATTTTAAAATTTATTTTTAATACTAATACATTAAAATATTAATAAATTTATTTTAAAACAAAAGAGGACCAAATTACCATGAAACTCCGGCCAAATCGCTGCCCGAAACGGGCAAATACGGCAACGTGACTCCATTACATGCAGAGCTAACAAAAGCTCATGTTTGATACCCTTTCATCGTAATTAGTTGATTGTCCTGTAATTATTTGTTTATCATTTACACACAACCCTTTAAGATTAGTTAAGTGGTTCGTCAAGCAAGCAAGCCATACAAAATACTTTGCCCGTTGATAAACAATAGGACTCCAGTTCATTGATAGTGATTAATATATATATATATATATATATATATATATATATAGATATAGATATAATTTAGAAATAAAAACCTGAATAGTCAAAATAGTTTTCGTCAAGTTTAAGGATCTATGATAACAAAAATATATAGTTCCGGAATGCGCAAGGCACCTTGATTTTCCTTCATTCACCATAAAATGTAATTGACTTAACAAAATTGCTTGAGAATTGAAGGTTTGAACTTTCAAGTTACCAAGTTTTTCATACTGGATCTCGATGCTTTCGGACAATCTTTCAAGTTTCAACAAAATTCTGGACAGCAACATGTTACCCTGTACCAAGGTCTCTTTTGCATCACAATTAAACTCTGTCTCCACTCATTTGCTTTTGGAACAATCTCACGACAGCTGCACAATAATTATTGTTTACCTTCCTAGTATTTAAAATTATATTAATTATTATTTTTAAAGTATTTCTGGTTAGAAATACATCAAAATAATATTTTTTTATTTTTTAAAAATTTATTTTCATATTTTCATATCAAAATAAACTAATATCATAAAAAATTAATTTAAAATAAAAACATCTTTTAAACACAAAAAATATAGCCTATAACTAGTTCATTACTCGAGAGTATATGCACGAGAGGAGTAGAACATGGGTTAGAAACTTGGAAAAACTTACCTATTAATGAAAGAAAGTCAATCGTATAATGTGTTTACAGCATATATATTATCATAATTGATTGATGAAAATTGCTCATGTTGTTTATATGAATTCAAGAGAAGAAGAAAGGAAAAGAACAGAAATTATAGCATGTAAATTAAAGGAAGGAGGATAGTATATGTGTGTGTGTGTGTTAAAGCATAAAATGACTCGTTAATTCAGCCGATCATCTCCTTGATGCTTTAAGATTTGCCTAAGAAGAGGGTGGTAGGTACGTCGTCAATTATATTAAAAGTTAATGGTAGTTCTTAGATGCATTTGAATTCACAGTAAATCAAAAATATTGAACCAATGAAAGTCTACCACGCAAGAACTTCAGTTTAGTTTTTTATATTATCCAAAATTAGATAGCGGTCGGAATGTCATGTCTTGTCAAAGTTTAGATAAGGCTAAAAAGCGTAGACTGTCATGTGCCCTCCGTGGCTGCCTTCTTGGCCATGGGAATAAACAAATCTATTATTTATTGTTTTATTTCAGACAGTTGGCTAACTCAATGTGTTCTCTTGCAGTAATGATTTTAAAATAAATTAATTTAGAAAATGAATGTTAATTTACAACTCTTAGTGACTAGTAATTTTACCAATGTTCTATATATCAACTTAGATGTCATGAGCGATGTTGCGAGATTGTGGTATATTTATGTATTATTATGGATTTATAAAAAAAATAAAAAAAAATATATATAAAAAATTATTGTAATTCACAATATTTTCAAGAAAAAAATAACAAAATTAAATTTTTTACTGGTTTAATATTAAAAAATAAAATTAATAAAAATTTTTTTAAAAAAAATCATAACAAAAAAATGAAAGGAAAAAAGTCATGGAGAAA